TATATATATATATATAGGAAATTCCAGCTCATAACATTTAAGCTTTGCTGGCATGAAAGAATATAAGATTCTGGGAGAGACCCCATGAAAATAAATGATAAGAGTAATTTACTCTGCCTAAATGCCTTTTGGAAATGTTATGCCACTGTCTGAACATCTCTGATCCTTCTGAAAGTCTTAATCTTTTCTATAATCACAGAGATATGTAGAAGATCAGCCCTCTAAAGCACTGTGGGCCATACATCTAATTAGCTTTCCTGGTAGACACTCTTTTACAAAAGTCATATCTTACTAAACGGGGTTTGTGCATATCCTGTGTGGTAACAACCAGAAGAGGTATTTAGAAGCCTGAATGCAGGTTACTCCAGGCCATGTTTAGTGGAGTAGCAAATATATTTGATCGATACATAATACTTCTAACAAAATGATTTTTGAATTTCCATGAATTTTCATTCAGTAGTGTCAATTGAGAATCCAAGAACTAAAAAGATGACTAATGTTTCTCAGGAGTTTGAAGCCAGAAAATATATACATACATATCAAGAATCTTAGCTCTGGAGAGAAGGAAGCAGGAACAAAAGCATAAAGACAGGAAGAAAAGAATAAGTAAGAGTCACTAAACTGTTACCTCTTCAATTACATTTACTTAAAATAATCCCATGAATGTCAAAGAGATGCTTTAGTAATCATAAACAACTTTCTCCAAACTAATTTGGAATAACAACTGTCCTACAATTGTCAACATCTTGTGAACAATAATGTAATGTCCTCCCTAACTTCAATTAAGAGATTTCAAATATGAGGTCAAAAAGGTCAAAAATAAAATTTCTATAATTTAGCAATCAGGGCATGATAATTTGCTTCCTGACCCCTAGAGACAAACAAAACTTTAAAAAGGCATCCAAAAGCAGGGTGTGGGGGCACAAGCCTTTAATCCCAGCACTCGGTAGGCAGAGGCAGGTGGGATCTCTGTGAGTTCCAGGCCAACCTGGTCTACATAGGGAGTTCCAGGCCAGCTGGTGCTAAAGGGAGACCGTTTCAAAAAAGACTCCCCCCCCGGGGCAAAAAAAGACATCTAAAGACCAATTCCTAATGACCATTGTGGCTGCTATGATTTGAAAGTGAAATAGCCTGCATGGGTTCATGTGTTTCAATAATCCCCAGCTGGTGGTGATCCTTGTGAAGGTTTTAGAGCCCTTAGGAGGTAGAGCCCCCAGACCTTGGTAAGATATAGCCCAGCCACAATCCTGCTCAGGCTCTGCTTCCTGACTGTGGATACAATGTGACCAGCTCACTTCTGAACCATCCATCACTAACAAGACGACCTGTATCCTTTCAAACTGTTACTAAAATAAACTACTTCTCCCTCTCTTGTTACATGCCAGGCATTTTGTCACACCATTGAGACCAACACCTAAAAACAATCAAACAACACACACAAAAAAACACACAAACAACAAATTTCACCATATCAACAAGTTCAATAATAAAAATCGTACAATTATATTAATAATTACAAAAATAATGATTATGATCGGGCTGGAGATGGCTCAGTGGTTCAGTGATGACTGCCCTTGAAGAGGTCCTGGGCTTAATTATTAGTGCGCATGTGCAAGCACACATGTATAACAGCTAACAACCTTCCTTAACGCCAGTTCTACAGGATCTGAAAGTCTCTCCTGGCCTTCATGGATGATGGATGCATGTGGTACACATACATACATGCTGGCAAAACACTTATATGCACAAAAATTTTCAAAATGATTCAAAATAATTATATTGAAAGAAAAGGGTAGGAGGAAGTTATTGAAATTGTAAGACAAAAATAACATTGTCCAGGCAGGATGAAATAGCCTTTGAATCCCAGCACTCTGGAGACAGAGACAGGTGGATGGATCTCTGCGAGTTCAAAGCTAGCCTAGTCTAAATAGCGAGTTCCAGGCTAGCCAGAGCTACATAGTGAGATCCCTTCTCAAAAAAACAAAATTTGTGTGTGTGTGTGTGTGTATAAATATGAATACCACTACTACTAATAATAAGATTGTTTTTGCTGATTGTAAATCTCAAGAATCAATAAAAAGTAAAGACATTAAATAATACATCAAAGTTGTGTAAGATTAATACACAAAATTCTTTTTATTTTATGTGTATTTGTGTATTGCCTGCTTGTATGTGAGTGCACCCGTGTCGTACACGGAGGTCAGAAGAGGGCTTTGGATTCCCCTGGAACTGGAGTTAAGGACAATTTGTAGCTGCCATGTGGGTGCTGGGAATCAAACCTGGGTCCTCTGCAAGAGCTGAGCCATCTCTCCAGCCCAATACACAAAATTCTATCATTTTCCTGTATGTTAGCAATGAATTATTGGATGTGAATTATTGGATGTGTTTATATGGCAGCTCTCACGTCAATACAGAGTCAATGTCCTAGTTAGCCTTAGCTATCAGCTTGACAACGCCTAAAGTAATGTCAGGGGCTCTAAACCAAGGAACTGTCTAAATTAGATTGGTCTGTAGTCAAGTCTGTGAGAGACTGTCTAGGTTCTAGATTGATGTGGGAGGGTCCACCCACTGTGGGTGGCACTATCTCTAGGTCCAGGAAGCTAGGTAATCAAGCCAGCAAGTGACCCAGTAAACAGCAATCTTCCATGGCTTCTGCTTTACTTCATGACCCTAACTTACCTCAATGATGAATTGTTACCTGAAAATACAAGCCAAATAAATTTTCCTCTCCAAGTGGCTGTTGGTCATGCAGTTTTTCATAGCAACAAGAAAGCAAACTAGCACAGAAATTAGTACTGGGAGTGGTCTATTGCTATAATGAACCCGACCATGTGGCTTTTATGCCTTTAGAGTATTATGTACAAGACTCTGGAACTTAGGGCTGGAAAAGACTTTGATTACTGTAAGCAGTGTATAATGGACTGTTCTAGGGGAAACCTGGAAGACAGTACCGCTGAGAAAAAGCAGAGAGTAGAGGCATACCTCATGAGGCTTCACAAGGGAACAAGGACTCTATTAGCACTTGGACTAAAGGCCATTTGTGTGATACTTTGGCCTAGAATCTGGCTGCATTCTGCTGATGTCCTGAGAACTTGTGCTCTGAATTAAAAAGTAATGGACTGTAGTGATTTGAATGATAAATGTCCCTCATAGGCTCAGAAATTTGAACACTTTGTAACACTGTTTGAGGAGACTCTGGAACCGTTAAGGAGTGCAGCATTACTAACGTATGTCACTGTGGGCAGGCTTTGAGTGGTGACTGCTTTACCCCACTTACAGTTCACTCTGCTTCCTGATGTGCCGATGTGATGTGAGCAGGCAGCTTCCAGCTCTAGCCATTTGTTGTCCTGCCTTCTTTGCCATTATGGACTCCCCCCTGGAAACGTAGGCCAAAATAAACTTTTTCTTCTGTAATTTGCTTTTGGTTGTGGTATTTTATCAGAGCAACAGTAAGTGACTAATACATGGACTATTTCCTGACAGCATAACATTGAATCTGTGGGATTATTATTACTGATTACTTTTATCAGGTCCAAAATAAAAGGATTTGGTTTAAAAAAAAAAAAAAAAAAAAAAAAAAGAGTACACTTCGGACAGGAAAAGAGAGCACTAGGAAGCTTAAGGAAGCCCTCAAGACGTGTTGAAAAAGAGGCTGTAATTCTTGAAGAGATTAGTACCATTAAAGGCAAGACTCTCTGAACTAGAATAGGAAAACGTGCCCTGATGTGCCCCTAACTCATACATCTTTCCCAGTACAAGGACAACACTGCCAAGTAGCCTGGCAGCTTGGGATGGACCCTCACTCCTTTAGACCACATTAGAAGCAGCTTTTGTAGACAGGCTTTCTCTGGTCAGAAGTAGGATGCTTAGCTGGTGGGGTTTTGCCCGAAGGGCATGCTTCCCATTGTTGCACTGCGGAACTGGAGGTCTCTCTTGAGGGTTTAACCACTTGAATAATTGCAGCTTCTCTTTTAGCATTCTCCTTGGCTGCAACACTAAGCTTCCTAATGCTTTTTTTCTCTCTAAACTACATTTTGTAGTTCTTTCTGCCCCACTTTCACTGGACATGCAAAAGATTTCTTAGTAATAACAACCAGAGACTAGACATTATGCTGTTCTGAAATTTCCTCCACCAAGAAATGAGCACATTACTTTTTAATGTAGACCCAAGCAAGTTCAGAGGACTAAGGGAAAAGGCGGCATGATTCTTTGCCAAAATATCACACAAATGGCCTCTAGTGCAGTTGCTAATATCAATCCCCACAAAATCTCATAAGCCAGGCTACTGTCCACATCACTCTCGGTACTATCGCCTTCCAGGCTCCTATTGAATGGCCCACTAAACTTACAGCATTCAACCGTTTTTTTCAGTCTAAAGTTCCAAAGTCTTTCATTTCATATAACGTGGTCTGGTTCTTCACAGCAGAACTGGTACCATTCCTATTGTCCTGATAACAACTTCTGTGTCAGTCACTTTTTGTTTCTGTGATAGAACACCATGACCAAAAGAGACTCATGGAAAAAAGAGATCATTTTAGATGGTGGTTCCAGAGGGGAGAAAGAAATGGTAGCAGGTGGCCAGAGCAGGAAGCTCACTGATCACATCTTCTACTACAAACACAGAGAGCACATTGGCTATACTCATCCAAAGTCTTACTCCAACAAGGCTACACCACCTAAAATTCCATGACCTACCCGAGCAGTGCCACTAAATGGGGATCAAGTGTTCAATACTTGAGCCTATGGGGGACATTTCTTACTTCAAACTACTACATTAACATAATAGACTCCATCACTCTAGAACCACATGCCAAAATAAACCCTTTCCTCTCTGAAGTTGCTGTTGGTCAGTGTTTTATCACAATAGAAAAACAACTAGAACAGAAATAGGCACTGAGAGTGAGGTGTTGCTGTGGTGATCTTTTCATGTGGCATTCTATGCTTTTGGACTACTTGGTTGGAGGAACACTGACCTGCTCATTGGCCCACTTAGCTCACTTCCTTATACAGCCCAAGCCCACAAGCCTAGGGATAGTGCAACCCACAGTGGGCTAGGTCCTCCCACATCAACCAACAATCAAGACAATTCCCCACATAGGAGGTTCAAGTCAATATGATCTAGGCAATCCCTCAATTCAGCCTCCCTCACATGATTCCGAGTCTTGTCAAGTTACAGCTGAAGCTAAGCAGGAGAATCAACATAATTCCAATGAAAATCCAAAAAAAAAAAAAAAATGTAATGAATAGTAACAGAACTGTTTGTAAAGTAATATTGTAAGGGGAAAGAAAATAACACTGAAAACACTACTGCACAACATATTGATACTATGTGACTACAATTTTCTTAAAAAATGAAATGAACAAGATAGAGTGCAATTTGGGAAAGAATACACAAATCAACAAAACAGGAAAACCAGAAATGAAATCACAAAAATGTAGTTACTTTAATTTTGACAAAAGAGCAGAGGAAACTCGATGAAGAGACCATGATGTTCTCACAAACGCTACTAGGCTTCATGGGCACCCACGCATAGATAAGTAATTACAGAATTTACAACTTTCACACAACTTTCACAGAACTGACCCAAAGTGCATTCTAACCTAACCGTGGGAACGTCCCAGAGGAGCTGACCCTCGCGAAGGCGGGTGACAGGTGTCAGGGTTTACGCTCCACGGCAGAGCCTGTCAGGGATACACGCTACCGAACCACATCCCTATTCCAGTCCTTTCCCAAGCAGGACCTGGGGGCGCACGCCTAACAGTGACGTAACCGACCGGGAAGCTCCGGGCAGTGCTGGGCCCGCCGGGCGGAGCTGCCCAGAGGCTGCGGAGCGCAGGTCCACGTCACCCCAGGGACAGTGTGGACCCTTCCCGGGGAAGGACCCGCAGCTACGTGGCCAACAACAACGTAACCTACACAGACGCTCCCCTGCAGCACTGGGGAAGCCGGGCGCCTCGGCTGCACCGGGGGTGGGGTCGGGAGGGTCGGGAGGGTCAGGTCTCACCACCCTGCCGCAAGTTCGGGGGACGATCAGCGGCGGCATGCCAGCCCGTTCCGGCGGCTCCAGCGGCAGCTGCTCCTGTCTGGGTACAGCCGGTCTGACGTTCACCATGGCCGGCTTCCGGCTTCCAGGTTCCGGCTCCGGCCGCTCGCTTCACCGCTTCGAGCTGCTGCACTCACGGTGGACCTCCCGGCCCCGGGGCTGGCTCTCACGGAAACGGCTGCCAGAGGAAAGGAATCCCCGCCTCCCTCCTAGCGGCCTCTCCTGATTGGCCAGGCTCTCGGAGGTTCTGATTGGCTAGCAAGTGCTGAGCGACAGGTGCAGGGTCCTTAGGGATGAATAGAGCTGCGCATCCTCTCCCAACCCTGGCTTTTACCTCCAGTGCTTAGGCGGCGGAGTTCCCAGGAGATTTGCATAGAAGCAGAACTTGTTTCTGGCCTCTCGAAGCGCCAGCCTTCTTCCATTCAGCAGGCGCCTCCCGTTCTTCCTATAGGGCAAGGTGTAGCTAGTTTACAAGTCAGTTATGTCTAAAGGAGTGTTGTCCTTGCCTCCAGGTTGGAAGGGCTTCCAACACACGCCAGGTCTGAGACCATAGAACCTGGCGTCCAGGGATCAGGAATTTCAGTAAAGCACACCTGGGATTGCTCACACTTTATCTCTCAGGTTGCACAGTGTCAGCCAAAATAAAATAATAACAATAAAAAAAACACCAAGCCCAAGCCCATGATAACATCACTGAGAAGGTACAGGCAGGTACCTTCTGAGCTTCGTAAAACTTACGTCTTTACAACAAGAACTCTAAAAAACATGCCAAAAATAAAATTATTAGTGTATGGAAAACTGAAGCTTAGAAAGAAATAGAAATGAAACAGAACATCCATCAAATACGTGTTTGGAAAAAAGGACACTGATGATAGCAAATGTTAAAGATAAACATAATTAGCATAGTCTTAGCTATTTTGAATTTTAAAAAGAAAAGAGATTCAAATAGCTAATTTCAGAAAAGAAAGTAGAGTTGGATGTGGTGGTGCAGCACTGTAATCCCAGTACCGGGAAGGCGGAGGTGCAAGGTCAAGTCCTAGCAGTGCTGCAGAAAGCATGCAAGGTCAACCTGGAGATGTCTCAAATGAAAACATTAAAAATGGCTCAGTAGCTTGCTTATAATGAAGTTCAGGACCGCAAGGAAAAACCACTCAGATAGAAGTACTCCAATACGCCCCAAACAAATATATTATTACCATTACAGAACCCTCCTAGAGTCAAGAGACCAGGGGCTAAGTCAGGTGAAAGAGAGCGAGTTTTAGTCACCTGGTGGCCTGACACCCAGATCGCTCCATAATGGTGCAAATGGGGTGATCTAGGTGTTAGCTCCCAGTTCAAGTTTTTGGGAACATTTATATTCAATTCATATGTGAGGAATGCAAGCAAAATGCAAATAGCATATATGTAATAAGTGGTTTACAGGTCACAAATGGTTGCAACGGTTACAGAATGTGGCAGTTCAGGAAAACAAAGACTTCAATCCTGGGTAACCACAGAGGGCTGGGAAGATTCCTATTTACCTCATTTCTTGGGACTTTTCAGGGTCCAAAGGGCTTCATTATCAGCGGCTCTTAGATGCCTTTACATTCTATCACATTACCAATTGTACAGAAATAGAATGGGTTAGAAGAAGAGCAAACTGGATAACCTAGGTAAAGTGAAAAGAATTTGATAAATACACCATCTACTAAAACTGAATGAAAATAGAAAATCTGGTTAGAACTATAACACTGAGGTGCTGGAGAGATGGATGGCTCAGTGGTTAAGAGCACTGGCTACTCTTACAGAGGACCTGGGTTCCATTCCGAGCACCCACATGGCAACTAACAACAGTCAGTAACTCCAGTTCCAGGGGATCTTACACCCTCTTCCGATATCCTCAGGCATTGTACGACATGGGTGCACTTACATGCAGGCAGTACACTCATACACAAAACAAACAAATCAAATATTAAAAAAGAAATAAAACATTAAGAAGATGGAATTCATAATAAAAACCCACAAGGATAAAAGGTCATCACCATGTGTTTTCATAAATAAAACTTATCACATATTTAAGAAGAGTTAGTGGAGGGGACACACACACACACACACACACACACACGCACAACTGGAGAGATGGCTCAGTGGTTAAGAGCACTGACTGCTCTTTCAGAGGACCGGGGTTTGATTCCAAGCACCCACATGACACCTATGAACTGTCCTTAACTCCAGTTCTAGGGGAATCGGACGCCCTCTTCTGACCTCCGCAGCATGGCACGACACGGGTGCATTCACATAAAATAAAAATAATTTTAAAAAAATTAAAGAAGAGTTAGCAATTCTTCACAGACTTCCAAAGAACTGAATAGAATTTTTTCATTCATTCCATGAAATCACCTTCACCCTGATAAGAAGCCAGACAGTGACAGTAAGAAAAGAAAAATCACAATGAATTGTTCTGTAATAATATTCATACATAAATCCTTAACAAAATAGTACATAAAATGGGCAGAATATCACAGTCATTAAAAAGGTTGTGTTAGTCCCCAGGATGCAAGAAATTTTTTTAAAATTTTATTTATTATTATTTTTAAAATATTTTACTACTTTTACTTTATGTGTATGCGTATATTGCCTGCATGTAGGTAAGTGCACCCATGTCATGCAATGCCCGTGGAGGACAGAAGAGGCTCTCAGATCCCCTGGAACTGGAGTTAGGACAGTTGTTAGCTGCCATGTGGGTGCTGGGATTCAAACCCGGGCCTTCTGCAAGAACAACCAGTGCTCTTAACCACTGAGCCATCTCTCCAGCCCCAAGAATTGTTTTTAAGTAGTTTACCACACTATAAAATGTTGCTAGAAAGAAGAAAACATACATGATCAGGCCTACTGATAAATAATAATTTGATGTTATTTCTCATTTTAATTTAAAAAATTATTTGTGTGTGTGTATGTGTATACATACATACATGCTATGGCATTCATGTGGAGGTCAACTTACTAGAGTCAATTTTCTCCCCCCACCGTGTCCCAGGGACAGAATTCAGATGGGCAGGCTTGAGAGCAGGTACATTTGCCCACTCACCCATCTCCCCAGTCCACTTCTGTCATCACAAACTAAGCACAGTTGCTGGTTACAGACTTCCTGTTTGGAAATAATGAAAAGTTTTCTGGTATAGTAGCACACACCTATAACTTCAGGCCTTAAGAACAAAGCACAATGTCAAGGGTTCTAGGCCAGCCTGGACTATGTATGAAAACCATGCCTAAAAATAAAATAAAGAAAAGGGAAGGAAAATTAAAATAAAAGTTTGGAGAAGAAAGAAGTAATGGTTACATGACATTAGGAATGTACCTACTACTACTGAGTACTGCACTTAGAATTTTAAAATGGGAACTGATGAGATGTCTCAGTTGAAAAGGCACTTTGTCTCGGGTTTGATGACCTGAGGTTGATCCCCACAACCCAAAGGTGAATGGCGGAGTCCCACAGTGGTACTTTGACCTCCACACATGCACCTTGGTGTGTGTGCATACACAAACACACACGATAAATCACAATTTTAAATTTACAAAAAAATTAAAGAATGTGCAAATTATAAATTTATACACATTGCCGGGCATGGTGGCGCACGCCTGTAGTCCCAGCACTTGGGAGGCAGAGGCAGGCAGATCTCTGTGAGTTCAAGGCCAGCCTGGTCTACATAGTGAGTTCCAGGACAGCTGGGGCTACAGGGAGACCCTGCTTCAAAAAGACAAAAAAAATTTTTTTATACACATATATTTTACTAGAAAAGCTTGAAAACAAAAACAATGGTAAGGAAAAAAAAAAACACTTGAAATAGGGATTTAACCTACTTTCTCCTGGCTTTTAAATAAAAAATTCAATGGCTGTAATGGAAATGGGTTAGAAATTGTTAAACAAACAAACAAACCAACAAACAAAACCCAAACAACTTTTAGTTCTAGCAATTGAAATCACAAAAATGAAAGAGCCATTTGTGATGGTTTGAATGAGAAATGTACTCCTTGGGCTCACATATCTGAACACTTGGTTTATAGCCGGTGCAGTGATTCGGGTAGTCATGGAGCCTTTAGGAGGTTGGCGTGATGAGGGAAGAGTGTCACTCTGAGGATTCACAGCTTTGCCTTCTGCTCCTTCTGTTCTGCTTGCTCTTGGAGAGTGCAGATGTGAGCTCCCATCTTTTACCTCCTGCCACCATGCCTGCCACTTGCTGCCATGCCTCCCTGCCATGATGGACTCTTATCCCTCTGGAGCTATAAGCCAAAATAAACCCTTCCATAAGCTGCTTTGGCCATGGTATTTTGTTGCAACAGAAAGGTAACTAGTATATCAATGACAAAAATGAACAGAGTATCAGTGAGTGGCAGATGAGGTCAACTACACATGGCAGAGTATTGTCAGCCCTGGTGAGGAATCTAAAGACAACTCTCTTACAAACTTCTGGAATCAGGCAACTGAAGGCAGTACAGGAAGGCAGACTGCTTGGAGGGGTGGGCCTGGGCTTCTACGTCTCAAGCCTATAGAAATAATTCCAGGTGGGTTTTTTTTGTTGTTGTTGTTGTTTTTTTTTTTTGCTTTTTGCTTTTTAGACATCATGTTTGTAGCCCCAATTGGCTTGGAACTCCCTTTGTAGACCAGACTGGCCTTGATTTCACAGAGATCCACCTGACTCTGCCTCCTGAATGCTAGAATTAAAGGTCTATGCCCCTAGGCCTGAACATCTGGACCATCTTAGGTATAAGATGGGATCTGATATCAAGAGCATCCACAAATGAAATAGAGACCAATGGTATCAGAAACCAACTCGAAAACACATTTATGCTCAACACAGATAACATATTCTGGTGCCAAAAAACATCAGGAGAAGTCCAATACCCATATGAAGGCTTCTACCCAGGACTCAGAGCTCATAATTTTTGCCTCTTGAACGAATTATACAAGAAACCTTGAATCCAAACAAAAAAATAGAAATTATTTACCATAAATAATAGTGATTATGTTTAAATATTACATAAAAGGAAATTTGTGCTATTTTAAAAACTGCTTGTTTTTTGTTTTTTATTATATTTTATGTGTGAGTGTGTTGTCTGCATACATTTAAGTGCACTCGTGTCATGCACTGCGTGAGGAGGTCAGAAGAGGGTGTTAGATTCCCCTAGAGCTGGAGTTATGGACCACTGTTAGCCACCATGTGGGTGCTGGAAATAGAACCTAGATCCTCTGCAAGAGCAGCCAGTGCTCCTAACTGCTGAACCATCTCTCCAGCCCCCTTGTTTTGTATTTATTTTTTTCTGTGTTTTGTTTTGTGTTAGGGGGGTAGTCTTTTCTGAGACAGGGTCTTCTTGTAGCCTCTGCTGATCTGGAACTC